TCGCATCTGTGGCATGCTCGGCAACCTTCGGCGCGTCCTGAAATTCAAAGGAAAAAACATAGTTCTGCTTTCGTCACGGGCCCTCGAGGCGGGCCGCCCCGGCCTCGCCGAGTGGTGCCACCGCTACTGCGCCAGCCACGCCGGCCTCAAGACGTTCCAGCTGCGCCGCGAGGTGACGGGCTGGAACGAGGACCTCGTGCGCTCCAAGCTCGAGACGCTCGTCCGCGCCACCGGCTACCAGGGCCACGTCGCCGTCACCTTTCCCCTGCAGGGCGAGACGGTGACCGTCTACAACGACGCCGCCACGAACCGCTGGCGCCTGCTGCGCTGGGTCCGCGTCCTCTGCGTCCTGACCCTCACCATCCTCCTGACCTGGCCCTGGCTCTTCTTCCGCACGGCCCGCTTCGAGGTCGCCGTCGTCGAGTGGCCCATGAGCCGCCGCAGCCCCCGCCACCGTCAAGGCACCGCCGCAGCCGCCGCCGCTGCCGGCCGTCGCGACTACGTCAGCCTCAGCGAGGAGCAGTGGTACAACATGTGGGCCCGCGCCGTCCGCCGCGCCGTCCTCGAGCGCAGGCAGGGCACCCTCGACCAGGGCGACCTCGTCGCCGCCGAGGGCGCCCAGGGCGCCACCTTTGACGGCCAGACCGAGGCGCAGGCCGTCGTCGGCAACGCCGTCGGCAATTTTGTGCGCGCCGGCGTCAGCGCCATGAATGCCGTCAATGTGCGCTTCGGCTGGGGCGGCGACCACTGAGCTGTGCGACATGTGCTCGTTTGGTTGGTTGGTTGGCTGCTGGGTCGGTTGGTTGGTTGCTTGCTTGGGTTTGCATAGCTTTTCGGGTCTGCTCTCGGGTCTGCTTTCGGGTCTGCTTTCGGGTCTCGTCGGATTTTCGGTCATAAATACCCTCCTTTGGTTTGCCTGGCATGGCTGGTATCTCATCAGAATGAATGATTATACGATGTCTTTACATGTGTCTTCGTGTCAACAAGAGATGTGCTGTACTGGCCTATTTGCCTTTGCTTTTCGCTTCATCACCTCGTCATTCGGCTTGCTATGCCTAGATTGAACCGTGAAGCAGGGGTGTCCTATTATTCTTGTTTGAGTGCCGTGGTTTCATGTCCTAACATTTCGTCGGAGGGCCAAATGAGAAGTGAACGAGCTGGGTTCTTCCACGGCTGATGTCTAGTTCGTCAACTCGGTCGGTGGTCTATCTTTACCTTGGTCTTTGTCCTTAACTCTGCTAGAAGATGAACTATTTGATGTGAGTTATTTAATATCATTAAAAAGAACCTTTCTTCAGGCTGTCACTGACCTGAGCCTCTGCGTCTGGGCGCCGCAACTCAACAGGCCTCGGTGAGGTCGACCCCACTAGGTACCCCACCACACACCGAACTCACTCACCTCAACTTCTCACCAAGTCCAAGTCGCTGCTTTCAACCACATCCCCGGCACGATCACATCTTCACCCTCGAAACGCCAAGCCCGGCAGCACGGCAGAAAAGCCAGCACAGCAGGCAGCACAGCAGGCAGCACGCAGGCAGCACAGCACGGCCATGGAGATCACAAACCCGAAACGGATCCTCGCCCTCGCGGCCCACGACCGCCAAGACGACCTCGCACGCTTCCTCGGCGCCCTGACGGGCACAACGCCGGAACCCTCGGCCGCCGCGTCGGCGACGCCCTCGCTCGCCGGCACCTCGCACGTCCTGCCGCTGACGACGTCCTACTACACGGCCACGGTGCCCGTCTGGCTCGACCTCGTCGCCGACGCCGACGGCGCTGAAGACGAGGACTGGGCCGCCTCGTTCCTGGCGCCCGAGGCCCGCGAGGTCCTCGACGCGCTCGGCGGCATCGTCGTCGTGTTGCCTGTCACGCGCGGCGTCGCGGCTGCGCGGGGGCTCGTCGAGCAGGTTGGCCGCGTTGTCCGGGAGGGGCTCGGGGGGTGGGGGTGGGACGGGGTCGGGCTTGCGGTTGGTGTTGGGGCCGGCGGCGGGGAGGCCGAGGGGGAGGCGGAGCAGGGCGAGTGGGAGGACCTGTGCGGGCGCCGCTGGGTTGGAGTTTGTGCGGGTTGCGCGGGGTGGGAGAAGACAAGGGGAA